ATTTAAATAATTATGAACTTTGATCTTGAGAAGAGATTTATTCAGGAAAATTTGAGAATGATTTTCCATTTTGTTTTCTGACTTTGTTCTGGGACGGTTTTCGGACTCTTTTTGAGGATTTAATAGTCGAAAATCAAATAATAGTATTTTATTAGAAGAAATTTTATTGTGAGATAAAATTACAATACAGGTATTTTGTGGATCTCTTATCAATAAAAAAATAACACTCAAAAAACTCCACGTGGCCGCCCAACATCTTCAGGTAGGATATAACGTTTAGCATTTTTACATGCATTCTTGCTTTTTTATGCTTAACTTACAGCTTACTCGTATTTTTCATTATTTTAGGCCACTTTGCTGTCACTTATTACCTAGTCCCACATACTTTGATTTTCTTTTACTATACGGAGAATGGTTGCACTGCGCAGCTTTCTGAGTGCCTTTTAAAAGAAGATAGAAAAATCCGCCAGTTTGAACTTTTATTACGTATTTCCTACATCTTGGCGCAATATTTTTAATAGGTGCGTTTTAATCATCCGCTTCTGCTTCGGAATTATCGGTTTTCTTGTTTTAATCTGACAGGTTAAAACGACTAAACCAACAATTCCAGAAGCAGAAGCAGATGATTAAAACACACCTGTGTCACAGTTTATTGCTAAAGAATCAGTTAGCTCACTTGGAGCAGTTGAAAGTTCCAAAATAACATTCACTCCAGGGATACAAATTCAGGATACGCAGAAGACTGCTGTTTTATTATAGGCGGTTGTCATATATTGTACTATCCGAGTTGCGCAGTGTATAAACTGGAACATTGAGATCAAAAGTGCCGACACAGATTGAGCGATCTGATTATTTATCTGTAAACTGTGTCATAGGAATCAAAATGGCCGCGCCCTATGTTGGGCGTGTCGGACCTCTCTCTTGCCCCGTATAGTAATCAAAGTATGTGCCCACTCCACACACTTTTACTCGCACTTTCTGCTATTTCTGCTACTGCTTGAGTTTAGCTGCTTAGCACCACTACTTTTACCGTACATCTCCAAACAACGTCCAGCGTGGTACATGAAACCACTGACCGTAGTACCAGCAAAAGAACGTCATAGACATTTAAGTGCATGCCTAATACACCTACTCACTTACATCCCAGCCTCTCCCCTTAGCCTGCTGTGGAACACTATGAAGTCCATAGCGAATCTCCAGCTTAGTGGGGTATCCAGGATTAATAAGGTAGGATAAGTCCTTTAACGTCTACCACCAGCATCAACGCTACCTCCTACAAGTTAAATATTTATGAGATTTGTATTAAAATTAGACATTATAAACTTACCCTCAATGACAAAAAGCTCCTTAACCCATTTTTACCCAGGTTTTAAAAAATTGTCAGCACCTGTAATGCCCAAGTTTTAAATTGTGTTGAAAAGTGTAAATTTCGGAATGCATGTAGACAAATAAATAATATTTCATGAAAAAAAGAAGATTTTAATTTGTTTTTGTAATTTTTTTTTGCAAAAACCTAATGTTCCAATATTGGAACACTGGGAAGGGAAGGGATCAGTTTTTCCTACTCTTAACAGTTTAATCAAAAAATATTATAAAAACAAAATGTGGTTAAATATTAAATACAAAAAAAATCAAGTTTGGGTCAAATTAAACGCCTTAAAACAAGTGTCATGTAAATTAATGTTACACTTTTTACACATTTTTGTCGAGTTCTTGTGACACAAAGCACACCTATTTTGTTTTTTGGCTGGAACAATCCAGTGATTAAGACCGTCGAATCGTATTTGATTATGGACTCTATTTTGCAATGGTTTTGACGATTTAGGGCGGCCTCCTGTTGACACTGGTGACCCATACTTCTTTAGATATACCTGAACTATTTCTCGTCGAAATTGCAAAAAATCTATTTTTTCGCAATGTGGTTGAAGCCTGTAACACTGCCAGGCATTGTGAATACACGAGTCCAAACAAAATGCGAAGAGACTCCACCACCATTTTTTCGATCGGACGCTAATCCTATAGTTGTGAATATTTTGATCCATTCGATCCACCCCGCCCCTAAATTTATTATACTGACCAATAACGAAGAGTTGAGAAACAGAAAGGTTCTTTTTCTCACTTGATATCCACCTGTTAACTTGGGAGACGGGATTAACTGGATCACAACTACTAACTATTAAGATAGGACGATTATCGTTCCATAGAGTAACTGCAATTTGAGAATTGAGGTCTGTATAAAAATCAAAGCTCCCTCTTGGACTTTTTTTCATATTTGAATTATTTCGCAATGGGCAGTTTTCAAGTCTGTTATCATTGATAGTACCTGAATATCCCACACCATAATTTTTTAGTGAAGCAACCAATTTTAAAGAAGAAAAATAGCGATCCCCATATATTTTAAATGGCACATCCTTTGGCAGATTTTCTAAAAGTGTCATTACGACAGACCCTCCCAGTCCGAGTTCCATGTACTTGCTATCAGCTTGTTTTCCCTGGTAAGGATCAAATTGTATGAGGTAGCCAGACTTTTCGCACAAAGACCATATTTTGTACCCGTATCTAATAGGCTTTCCTTTTATGTATTGCTTGGCTCCATGCCTTCCGAAATATGGCACCATACTTTCATCGACGCACAGTTTTTCGCCAAGAGGAGCATGAGATAAATATCTTTCGTTTAGCATATTGAAGAGGGGTTGTAATTTTGCAAATTTATTTTTTGTCTTCTAGATTATTGTTGTCAGAACAAGGTGCATATTTTTTTAACGTTTCGAATCTATTTCTTCGCATTGAATTTGCAACTAGTGGATTATATGTATCACTCACTATCAACTTCCCAAAGCATACGCCATCTTGGAACTTGTAAATGTCCAGATAGATATAAAATTGCAACAAAACATTTTATTTCTTCTCTGTTAGTGGTGAAATTATGATCGCCTTTTTGCCTGGCGTACACTTCAAACATTTCCACCAAAAAACTGCAAATTTGCACATCAAAAAATGACTCAAAACAAGCAACAGGATCTGAAAATATGTTGCCGTTAAGCGGTTCTTTAGGTGAACTATATGTAGGAAATGCAGGATCTATGTCAACTTTCTTCCATTGTCGTTCGGAACTGGACTTTGCTTGTTCTTGGTTTCTTCGAGTCAACAATTGAGACAGAGGTATATCATCACTATCATCACTTCCATTGCCATCTGTTAGGTTATTATCCTCAACTTCGTCTTCAAGATAAACTACCCCGTCCGGTTTATTTATTTTAGCACAAGCTTCTGACTGCAATTTCCGCCCACTAAGATGATTAACGTTTGCCAAAGGATCCTTGTCATCGTCAGAATCTTCTTTTGACTCAATTCCATCGTTTGGAGGACTAATGTAGACATCAGCAGACCAAAAATCTTCATTTTCAACCAAATCGATTAAATTTTTAGTAGTCAAATACCTAAAACAAAACATAAACATAATGAACCCATTCATACCCAGTGTTCCAATATAGGAACAAAACAAAAACGACCCACCATTTATAAATTTGCACTTTGTTTCTAAAAAGGTGAGAAATACATGTAACGTACATTCCGTAATACTGACCTCTGCAGTGCAAATACTATTAGAGCCCTAAATTTAGCAAATATACTTACTTTTTGGACGCCATTAGGTCAGCTGTTAAAAATTTACAGAGTTTTGCGCGTCATTCACAGAAATATGCAGACTAACCAAATAAAACCTCACTGTACGCTTGGTTAAACATTACTAAAGCGTCTACTGTTCAAACTAACGGCCACGCGAGCATATTTAAACTGGAGGGAGTAACACATGGTTTGTTCCAATATTGGAACACTGGGAATACACAACACTGTTCCAATAATGGAACAATGGAAAAAAATGGGTTAATTTAATTAATATTAGCTGTGAGCCACAAGGGTTGACACTAGTAGTAGTAATCTATCTCATTTCTCATCTCTTATAATATATCGGAAGATAGATGTTTATAGTAGAACATAATAAGGTAACCAATGATTTATACTGTTAGTATTAATTAGTATAACATCTACGAATTCTTTTGAGTTGCATACCAGCTAGAAATAAAACCTAATCAATCCGAATAAAGTTCTTCATTTATTATTATATACTTACCAAGCCTTTTCTTCCCTGAGATAAAAGGTAAAACCCACAATAGCCGCAAAAAGGCAAAATCTTTTGCAGCTAACAAGAGATTAAAATCTAATCGAACGTGGTCTAAGATAAGATGTGGAGACGTTTACGGAGCCATGTGCCATCTTACAGAGATTCCAGAGAGCTTCGCGACACACTGGTGCAGGAATGGGACAATATCCCGCTGGATGTGATCCAAAATCTGATTCAAAGCATGTCTCGTCAGAGGAGGGAACTGAATTTCGTTTAATTTCTTTCGTACTAAAAGCATATCAAATTAAGTTTTTTATTTTCATTATTTTCAACAAACTTAAAACAAAATAACAAAAACTGTTTTTTTGTTTAAGCAATCACGAAAGATCTTCGCATAAGGTTATAAACTATGTTAAGAGTGAAAAATATCCAGAAAAATAAAATAAATGCAAATTACAAGGTGACCCTAATTTTACGCTCGAAAAACAATACTTTTTTCACTTGCAAAGGGAATAATTTTTTGATAAAATGGCCTGTTTCGTCAAAGAAAAAATTCCAAATTAAATAGAAGAAAATATTTGCACATAGGTACTTATCTATAAAATTTTCACATATCCTAATTTCGTTACTGTTTTAAATAATTTAGGTGTTATATCTTTAAAAAAATGTTAAACAAATGCCATATCAATAACTTATTGAGACATCAATGTTTCCACTAAAGGTTGTTTGATGATAACTGACTACTTCGTATGTAATATTTAACAAAATCAGTTATCAGTAAACAAGGCGTATTTTTACACTAAAATGTAGGTATGATAATCAATTTAAAAATAAAAAAAGATAAGCAATTTATTATCTGAATTGCTTTACTAGCCTATTTTATAATATTACAGTTATTGTAGTTATATAGATAAAAATTAAATGCAAATAGAACACAGTTCAGTTAATATTAATCGATTATTAGTACCTAAGAATTATATTTGTGTATATATTGGTAAGTGATCCTTAATTAATAATTATTATTCATGATATATTAACCCCTTACTGCATGATTTTTTATTTTTTTGTCAAAAAATTATTTGCGTTAGAATGATTGATTAGGATGAAAAAATAGAGAAAAAAATATTTTCGATATTTAAAGGAAATAAATGTCAAACTTTGACTTATGCCATTTTGGCACAAAATGAGATAACAGTAATAATGTTAATTTTTGACATGTGCCAAATTTGGTACAAATTTTGGAAATAACACAAAAGTAATAAGTATAAATTCAGATTTATTTAAAAAAAATAGATTTTATCTCAACAAAAGAGTGTAAATCTTGCCCTATTCCGTGTGGAATTTGCTAAAACAATTTCGATCCTTATTTAGACATACAAATACTGAACATTTGCCACATAATATCTAGGATTTTCCCTTACAATCTGGATATTTGCACTTCTGTCGTTCTTTACTTGGCAAATGATTGAAGTTGTCCATTCTTACTTCCTGGGCTGGAATCTGCGAAAAAGGATATTTCTTTTTTTTTTTGAGATCTAGTTGAGGTTGTAAGCCGGTACTTGGTCTTCCCCGTTTTCTTTCTAAACTATAAGCTCTGGTCAAAACTTCTGCGATACCAAGTTTGAATTCTAAAAGTGGTAGGTATAAATCATTATTTTTTAGGGTTTACCTCCACAGTATTCAGCTATTAACGAATATCATATCCAGGAAATAGTAAAATGCCTTCATGTCCAACTTTTTGGACCGAATTTGGGTTGGGTGGTATCCTAACATAGAAGAATCGAAAAGATCTACCCCCCATATAAGCAATATATACCGCAACATATTGATGGCGAGTGATTTCTATGTGTCCTAGATTTCCTGCAGAATCTGTTTACCATCAATACTCTCAACATATGTTCACATGGTGTTCACAATTTTATTACCAAAGCATGAAACAACACACCATCTACATTGGCCACTGCTTCAATAACTGTTCCTTTACCTTTTTTTATAGCTGCTTCCTTAGGGAATTTGAAATTATGCACACGTTTCCTATTACTTTTCCCAAAGGAAAAATACCATTTTTGGTGAGGTATATTTGTAGAGGAACGCTCATAAATAATTTGTAGTTTAGATTTCTTGAAACTGATTGTGAAAGTTTAACAACAACATTGCTGCTTGCTCCTAGATCTGGTTGATTTTTTTCAAGAGTAGTAGCTCCACAATAAAGGTTAAAATCGTAAGAAAATTCAGACACCCCACTTAGAACAAAAATCTTGTATCCCCATTTATGAGGTTTCTTGGGATTATATTGTTTGAGACTTGATCAAGCTGTTTTGTCGGAATAATATGTTCATCCACGGCCATATGCTTCTCTTTAGGAACAAGTAAGAAACGTTCACGAATTTGTTTAGCAATGGACGTATCTTGAAAAGCTTATCATAACCTGGCTGCTCTTGAGGAACCTGGCGTGTGTTGTCATTGAAGTGAATAAATTGTTTGATTTTTCAAATCTATTGTAGGTCATAGCACGTGAGATGCAGGGATTATCTAACGATTGGTTCCAGTAGGACCTGGTTAAAGGGAGTTGAATAATTGACATGTATATGCAAAAATCGCAAAAAAGCGAGGTTCTTCTTTGGATATATTGGGCGATTTTTCAGGCCTACTTTGTACACCAAAAAAGTTTGACTGTTCAGGTATATAAGTAAAAATTTGGTCGGTTAAAAAAAATTAAAAAACTAAATGGAGATCTTCGAGTTCTTGTATGTTGTCTGCAAGACAACTTCTTTTTTTCCCATTTTTTTGTATTGTGATTTTTTTGCTAGTCGATGTCGATGATAAATTTGTATCACTATGAGATTTAGATGTCGAGGGAACATTTATATCACTATGCTTATCTTGATTAAATTGTCGTAATCTAAATTCGTAAATTTAAAAGCTTTATCAAAAGGATTACTACTTCTCAAAGGATTTTCCAATATTGCGATAAAATTATCAATGATAAGGATAATTGTTTTATTGAATTTTTGCTAGGTTTCTTTGACGTTTTGTTTCGACACTTCAGTATGTATTGGTTCTGAGGATTTTTTATTTATTTTCCCTCCTATTAACATATAGTGTGTAACAAATGAATTATTTGGTGTAAACAATAATTTAGGAGTTGGGAAAGTGGAAGGAAAACAAATTTTATTCGGTATACTAAATCACATAAGGTTGTTGTGGAATGATTCCATTTTTTTATTAACTGCTTGAGTTTTGATGTTATATTGTACACTAGATATGGTAAGATTGATCTGTGTGATTCATGGTTCTTTCGAGATTTAATTTTTAAGGGGTTTGGTAAGGGGTATCATTGCAGTACCTGCTTGAAGTGTTAAAGAAAATAAGTTTACTTGTGAACTATATTTAAATCGATTTGACAGACAAGCACAGTGACATGACCGCAATTGTTCAATTGTTGTCAAGAATAAACATAGCTATTCTTATTCTTATAATATCATTTCGGATTTATTTTTCTACATTTTTTTTTAATGCCTATAAGCACATTTAAATAAAAAAATGTATGAAACACGGACGAAGAGTGTATTTTCTGATTCGTTCTTTTAGTCCTTATAACATAAACCACTATATTGTATTATAGAAGTTGCGAAAGAAATAAAATACTAAAATTAATATAAATAAATATTACTCCAATATCTAATTAATATGTTTACAATTAAGAATACAAAATTTTGAAAAAAATAATTACATATCTACTTAATTTGAAGTACCTACCTACTTACTTAACGTATTTATTTTGGTATTAGATTAAACAATCAATTGTTTCTAGTATAATTGTAAATATACTGTTATCTACTATGTTGTTTACTATTGCCAAATTCAAGGTTCTTTTTAATATTTTTTTGTTGAATAGACGATTTCGGTTAGTGTAGAGAGGTTCAGAAAAATAAATTAAAGAAAGAAAAAAATACAGTAGCTTTTTTGGGCCTAAAAACCAAGTGTTTACATATTAACAATATTAAAGGCGGAACTGAAAATGGAATAAAAGAAGGTTATGATTATTAGCTAAGATATAGCCATTCTCAATAATTAATAAAATACAGGATATCGCCGCGTGAAGGTATGTCAACAAATATTACATTCTAATAGGAAAAGGTTTTTAGTTTTCAGATAGGAGTTATTATATCTATATTTTGGTAAATATTCAAAATTAAAGATATATTTTAGGAAATATTGGTTAAAATTAAAGACTAAAGAAGTAAATACCTACACATTTAACGAAAAACTGAATTCCAGTAACAAAGAGCGCGGATTGGCCAGATATAGTCTGAATAAAAGAGTAGTGCTGTAAAAAACGTCACATTCCATAGGCGTACTTTGCAAAATAAGTTTCTATAATATAAATAGGGCTGTAACGGCCCACCCCCGGTACCCCCTATTTGTTTGTTATTTTACCCTCTGTGATGTTATTATTTACCTGAAAGGTTTTACTTTAAATTCTATACTTACTGTAATTGGCCTTTTTCCTCTAGTAGTAGAAATAATCGTCTAGTTAATTTAATATCACGTTGTAATAATGTTAATTACGATAAACCAGAATTAGATACAAAGTTTGGTGCAAATTGATAAATAAAACCAGAAAAATTTATATTTAAACTCTTTTATTTTTCATACTTCAAATGTGATGCAATAATTAGCGAAGTATATTACAATTGGTACTATTTACTGAGATCTCACTTGAGTTCCGTTCAAACGGAAACCATATTCATTTTCTATCAATATATATTTTATTTAGGTTGATGCCTAACGAAGTTAACGAACAGCGGCAATTCGCCAGTTGGTTAACTACTGTGTTGATGTTGAAATGATTCTATTTTAGATATACACAGGTTGCGCCCTCTTAGGTAAATAAATATTTCGACGAGAATAGAGGTGATGACCAACGGAAGTAACGGACAGCGCCAATTCGCCAGTTGGTTACTTAACTATGTTGATTTCACATGTACTTTGTTCTAAACCTAGTAGAACTGGTTGCTTAGCATATAGGTGTCCCCCCTAGAGCTAACGAACAGTGTATTCACCAGTTGGTTAACTTACTGTTAAATTTTACCATCTTGGTTTGTACAATTTTATATTTATATTTTTATAATTTCTATTGAAATGGTTTAATACAACCCTGTATATTTTTAATATTGATTATTATATTTTCTATTGAAATAACTTAATACAACCCTGTATATTTCCTAATATTTATTTTTATAATTTCTATTAAAATACTCAAAATTTCACCCATCGTACTGTATTTAGGGGTGTATAACCTGAAGTATATGTGGTTTATTGATAATATTTTACAGAAAATGTCAAGCGCCGCTTAAACGAAACCCCGGTGGTATCTCAAAGAAAGTTACATAAATATTTTGACTCACCATTGAAAATATTATATACGAATTTCATCTAACGTGGTGACGGCGTCGATTTAGGTACGTCACACCGTTGGTATCATCGTCTCGCGTCGAGGCGCCTAGCGTTGTGGTGAAAAGAAAGGTATTTAATACGGTACTGCATTGGGACAGATATACGGTAAAATTATTTAGGTGGACGGGACGTGACGAAAGATGTCGACAAGGATATTATGAAAGAAATATTTAGGGACGGCAAGCGTCTGGAAATAGACATGGGACGTTGACAGCGTTCGGGAATAGGATATATTGTAGAATATAATTTATTTAGGAAGAACGTTTTAGGGAAGGTACTGACTACTGAACTTGAAATATAACAGGATACACAATACTAAATGAATGCTTGCACATCAAATAATAAAAAATGAATGAATACGAGCTCATTTGGGTCAGACTTCTTATACTAAGTTTAATGGCTTTTTATAACATCTTTGTGTGTTAGTTCCCAGTGGCTGAATTATTACTGGCTTTGAAAGCTTCGTGTATCGAAATATTGTCGAAATCGGTTTTAACATCGAAACTATAAAAATAAGCGAGTCAAGTGTTTTAA